CAAAATCATGATATGGCCTATTGTGCTTATTAGATCACAAAAGGCTACAATTTCATTAAAAAAGTATATTGTCTGTTGTGTTTCAGGGTGTAAAGTATTTGAGTAAATGTGGTTAATATAGTTTTATTTATTATATCTTTTTGGCTACTTTGCAAGCATATTAGTAACTTTTACTCTCTACTCTCTATATTTTTGAATACATACATCTACTCTTTACTCAACTACATTTCAAATGACAACAGCATTTATTCATTACATTTTGCAAGGCACACTAACTGTTTCTGCTGTGGAAGAGGCGATGTCTCCATCTGCAGGATACTGAAGCTACTGGATCTTGTGTGTTTTGTCCTTTAAAAGCACTCAGACTGGTCAACAAATCCACAGCATGTGAATGTGAGTGCATTAGCAGCTCGCTGCCAAATCACAGGTGCTTCATATCAGATGAGGACATGGCTGCAGTTTCACTTAGTATTATTTTATTCACTGAAAAAAAAAATGTTGTCTTGTTTTCCATTGCAAATATCCAAACATTCTTAAATAAAGATACATTTACTTGAGAAGCAAAATGACTTAAGTCTTATTTTCTGAAAACAAATTATCAAAATCTTCTTAGTTTTTGTTTAAAACAAGAAAAAATGATCTTCCAGTGGGGTAAGAAAAAAACCTTCTTTCTTGTTTACCCTTTGAAGATTCCCCCTACTTTATTTTCTTTCTTGCTCTTTGTTTTTACCTATATGTCCCTTAGGTTTTGAGGGCTTGTGCATCTTTGAGCCTGCATTCAATACAAGCTCAATTGTAATTAGTACTGTTACAATGCGATACTTCAATTGCCATTGAAATAGGTGACTTGTAACTTTTAACTGGAGTCATTTTCACAGTGAGTTTCCACTTTAAAGTTCAGGTACAATGCAAAGTCAGTGCAAAGACTTTACTCTGTTCAATTTGGACACTGAAAATAGGATGGAGCTCTTGATTTTGCTCTCAAAGAGCACCAGATTGATGCAGTGGAGGACTGTAAGATTTTCTCCCTGAGAGGGTTCGAGGGAAACACTGATGTGCAAACATCTGCTCCACCAGTCAGAGGAATATCAACACAAATATAATATTAAGTGTTTTATAATCCACTCTCAACACATCAGAATCTGTCAGAGTGACTCTGGGAATATGAGGTTATCTGCATGTTTCCATATCAGCACACACCCAGATCTCTTCTGCTCTGTATTTCATGGATAAGCTAAGTTGAATGCAGGGCTGCACTGTCTCCCTCTGTCTGTCTGTCTGTCTGTCTGTGTGTGTGTGTGTGTGTGTGTCTTCAATCTCACAGATGCCCTCAAAGCTGCACTGCAGAAGATCAAATTGAGTTTGCAGTCAAGATAAAGGCACGTCTCACACAGCAAGCAACACAATCAAACACTTATTAATCACTGAATACACTGTAAGCATTCCAGTTTGTTTTTAAACAACTCATTGTAACTGGAATGTTGGAGCATTAATTATGACTGTAACGTTATAGTTTGCTGTGCTGCAGATTGCACTTTGACAGCTTTGTTGGCTGTAGCAGGACTGTATCAGTGTCGTCGCAGTGCTACAGAGTGGAAGAGCTTCAGTTTATTGAGTCTGATCTGTCAGGGCAGCTGTGTGTGTTTGTTTGTGAGTGAGTGAGTGAGTGAGTGTTTGTCCGTGTGAGTGTGTGTGTGTGCGTTTTTGTGACAAATGAGGACATAAATTTGTATAATGACAAAGGTATGGCATAGGTATTACAAGGAGAAGGTGACTTTTCAGGACATTACCCCATGTCCCCACTTTTCAAAACGCTTATAAATCACACAGAATGGAGTGTATTGAAAATCTGAAATAGCTCAAAGTTTCCTGTGAGGGGTAGGTTTAGGGGTAGGGTTGGTGTAGGGCAATAGAATATACGGTCTGTACAGTATAAAAACCATTACGCCTATGGGATGTCCCCACATTTCACAAAATCAAACCTGTGTGTGTGTGTCTGACTGTGTGTGTGTGTGCGTGTGTTTGTTTGTGAGTGAGTGTGTGAGTTTGTCCATGTGTGTGTGAGTCCGTGTATGTGTGTGTGTGTGTGTTTGTGTGTATGTGTTTGTTTGTGAGTGTGTGTGTGAGTGTGTGTTTGTGAGTGAGTGTGTGAGTGTTTGTTTGTTTGTGAGTGTGTGTGTGTGAGTGCGTGCATGTGTTTGTGAGTGTGTGTGTTTGTGAGAGTGTGTGTGTGTGTGTTTGTGCGTGCATGTGTGTGTGTGATTGTCCATGTATGTGTGTGAGTGCGTGTGTGTGTTTGTATGTGTGAGTGCGTGCATGTGTTTGTGAGTGTGTGTGTTTGTTTGTGAGTGTGTGTGTGTGTGTTTGTGAGTGAGTGTGTGTGTTTGTTTGTGAGAGTGTGTGTTTGTTTGTGAGTGTCTGTGTGTTTGTGAGTGAGTGTGTGTTTGTTTGTGAGTGTGTGTGTGAGTGCGTGCGTGTTTGTGAGTGTGTGTGTTTGTGAGAGTGTGTGTGTTTGTGAGTGTGTGTTTGTGAGTGAGTGTGTGTGTGTGTGTGTGTGTGTATGTGTTTGTTTGTGAGTGTGTGTGTGTGAGTGCGTGCGTGTGTTTGTGAGTGTGCGTGTGTGTATTTGTGCATGTGTGTGTGTGTGTCTGAGTCACAGCCTAAATGAATTCACTGAAGAGACTCAAGCCTTCCATCTGGATTTTTATGGGAAAACAACAAACAACAATCTTAATGAGGAAAATTATTTACATTTTTAGGTGAAATATTGTGGAATCACTCCCAGCCTTCACACATGAAGTGGTGTGGATGTGTTTAAGGACAAGTCACCTTTGTTTTTATAGTGGTTTGTACAATAGAGATTGTTTCTTGCAGCTTCACAGGATTAAACAGGAAAGTTAACTGAATCAATAACTGTTTTACATCCACCTATATTTAGCAAATTTTGGAATATCACATAGAAAAAATGCTGAATGGAAATGCAAAGATGCGCATAACTTCTAAAAATGTGCATTAAAAAAACACACATATTCCTTTAAATCGATGGCACGATTGCCTTCCCAAAAAACACGAGATAACATGACGGCATTTGCTATTGCATTTCCTCTGCTACAAGTCATTTGTTTTGTAGGAGAGAAAAAAGGGCCATGGGATGAAAACAGTGCTTTGTTCTCAAATGTTTTATGTGCTATTGTTATTTTGCTCACAAGATAAATTCACATCTTTCAAAAATGAGACAAATCCAAACTCTGCAATAAAGCAGCTGTATAAGACAATAGTATCATTATTCAGCTCCAGTGTTGATTCAGTTCAGTTTAATAACTGGGTCAATGTTGCAAAATTCATGAATTATGATTGAGTTTGATTCGGCTATAAAGCAGCTCCACAGAAGACAAGAGTTTCATCCTCCAGCTCAATTCAGCTCAAGTTTTGTTCTCATCACGTGGTGTCAGTGCAGTGGAATGATATTGCTGAATACTAAGTTTCTTTTAAACCCCAACTGAGCAAGCCAAGGTGGCAAAGAACCCAAACTCCATCGGGTTAATCACTTCCTGTTCTCTGTTGTTTGGCACCTGATAAAGGCATGTTTGGGCTGATATGCATTTGTGATTCTTGATATAAAGCAGCCCGCCAAATAAAGGCTTTTTAAATCATTTTTTTTTTTACTATAAATATTTTTTTGCTATAAGATCCACTTACAATTGCTATTTTTAAAATTGATTTTCATACATTAGAAGGCTTGAAAAAAATGGTAGTATAAGCATTCTGTGATCACAATGAAGAAAGGGTGAAATTAGCCCAAAGCCAGAAAACAGGAAATGACATCACAGAGGGGACACCCCAGCACTCATGACAAGATCCGTTTGATTCTTAAAAATAATTTGACCTTTTTGTAGCATGGCAGGGTTAGTTCTGTGGCCTGTACCATGAAGCCGGTTTAGCTGGCTAGTCAGGTGTATTTTAGATTAGTCTGCAACGAGGCTGGGTTTTAGTTACCATAACTTACACTGCACAGCTACCCTTGTTCTGGGTAAGAGAGCTCAAACTCCAACTGGACCAATCAGCTGTGAGCAAACTGACACATCTCTGACGCAATAAAGCCACTCCCCCACTGGCATGTGATTGGCTGTTCGTTACTGATGTCACACTTTCAAGTGCACACGCTCCAAACGTCACTGTACAGGCCTCAGGTCGTGATTAAAGTAGCATCTGTTTGAAAATAATGATTAAGATATGTGCTATCATGCATTCAAGGTTTAAAGAAAACATGCTTGTAGAATTTAAATTGAAAAATATATAGTTTTACATGGTACATGGTTTATTCTGTTCAATAGTGCTTCTCATTGAAATTGGCTCAAGAGAATATTCTCATTTATTTTTTTAACCGAACCGAAAACTATGCATTATGATGCACAGTATTCAGTAGCAGTAAACCAATATCTCATTCTGAAAATACTAATGTCTTTGGTGCCATCTAGTGAAAACCATGCCATTAAAATATTTACTAAATGACAAAGTGCAACATTTAAAAACTGCATTTGAGTTACGAAATATAACTCCATTGTAGAGTATGTGTCCAAACAAGCGATCACTACAAATTTAAATCAACCAAAATAAAGGCGAATAAAAAGCACACACAGGACGTCTGTTTTGCAGCTGAAGTGTGAAGACATCACATGGAAAAGAGGCAGCATTTAGGTTGCCAGCACAAAGCAATGCATCCGACTCCGGCCTGCTACATGCTCTTGTGAAACAAAGTGTGCACTGGAGCTGCTTGCAGCGTGTCTTGATATCTATCAGCTCTTTGTTGTGGCTTGTGCACGCCCGCATCAGCGGAAACCGTCTCAAGTAAGAACATGTGCTGCACTTTAGCAAGTCAGCAGCAGCGGCGATGAAGCCCAAGCCTGATGAAACGTTCTCTCGGTGTCAGGAAGACGTCCAATCCGAAATACAGAGCACTTCAATCACACAAGCCAATGCAACTCAAAGAAGGGCACGCAAACTGTGTAAAAATTTATTTTGCATAATTTAAAATAATTTCACGGTTAGTTCATTTATACAATTTGTTTTGGTTATAAAAAGGCAGTTTTGACAAAAAAAATCGAGTTCCCAGTGTATAAATGTAGTACCACATACCATAGACACACAGCCGCACTATTACTCTGAAAGATGAAACGGAAAGCAGTTCACGGTCACAATCGCTCGTCATTCACCACCGTCACACCTAATAGTGATATCAGCGTTTGCACAGATTTCATTTCCCTTACACAGCAACAACACTTACATGGAGTTTGGCAACTGAATTCAAAGTAAGGAATGATTCGAGACACTGTCCTGGTTTAACGACAGAAACAAACATTGCGAATGGTATCAGGTGCGACTCAAACGTTAACATGCACGCGTGTCCAGTTACTCCATAATACATCTTTGTTTTTTTCCAAAGGCACTCTTTGGCCAAGTTTGGCAGACAATTCAGAAAAAGCTAAAAACACACACAAAATTGACTGTTTCAGTTATTCAAACATTGGCTGTCTAGTCACAGGTTTCCACACCACACTGCCATTCAACGATGTCAGTTTTGCAAAAGGTTTAACCACGACTTCCAGTTCTGAAAGCTAATCACATATCAGCGGAGTAAAACATCACATCAAAACCCTGCAGCTCACCGACCGGAAATCGTCTCGCATCTTAAAGGCTGATGTACGTTGAGATGAGGATACTGAAATACAGTGGCCAGTGCTGTTCGGGCCTCTTTTTGAACATGCAAAACCACAAATAAAACTCGTCGGTTAATAATAACATAAATCCAAACCACCGCCTTTGAATGAGACGTGTGCAATGATACGCTGAACTTCGCAGGGTTTGTACAGATTAGCATGCCTGCTGCTCAGTCTTTGGGTTGGGAAGACACATCAGCGTTTTGGTTTGCGAGGCGTTCACTAAAAACAAGCGACCAGTGACTCTCGTGGAGTGTTAAATACCGAGGCAGAACCGAACTGACATGGCGGCAGATACGAGTAACTCTATGGTGAACTCCAGTAACCTGACTGACCATCTCTGAAGAGGAAAATACGGGCCAATGCCTGAATCTGCCATCGCGACAAGAGTACGAACGCTTGTTTAGCAGCGGGACGCAGCCCTTATTAAACAGCACATAAGGCACGATTCTCAGGATGATGGGTTAATAAAACTTCAGGGTCACATTTAGCCCCAAAATCACAAGTAAGAAAATATATTTTGCTAGTTTGGTCCATTAAGACGTTTTGCATTTGTAAAATATAATTGGAAATGTACAGCATTAGTTGAACTATAAATATATTTTAAAAATCAGTCATTGCGTCTGGGAGACATTTCTTAATTGCATTGTGGGAAATTACCTTTTTTTTTTTTTTTTTGCATTATTGGATCTTATTGCTCTTTAAAAAGATTTAATTTCTTTATGGAAAGTATCATTATTTTTTTCTTTTGATTTTGGAGTAAAATACAACCTGCAGTTTTCTATATGAAATTCACAATTGTATCAGTGCAACCCAAACAATCCATTTAACACAACCTGTCGAAATATTGCTGAACAGCTATGGATAAAACATATGTGCATTTAAAAAAAAAAATCATTTTGAAGGCACATCAAAGATTTGTCTGGGACATCTATAACCGGAAGTCTGATGTGTCGACCTCATTCAGTCTTCATTATATTGCACTTTATCTAAAAGCACAGGACGCCGTGAGTCAAGGCAGTAGAAATCCCTACAGGCTCCGACGGACACGGACGATCCTTATCTTTCATTAAGTGGATCTGGCAACAAACTTATTAATCAACAACAAAAAACAGGCAAGCAACTTTAGACTGGTTTACAAGGGAATGAGACACGAAGAAGTCAGCGAAACCAAATCAGAAAGTCCTTAAAGAGCGAGAAAGTGAGATGAGACCAGGTTGGGCCCCTGTACATCTTGTTTATGAGTTCATCTTCGTCTCGGCCGACTATAAGAGCACACACTTCTTGGTATTCTTTTTGGTAACGGGGTAGAGCACGGCGCGCACGGCCTCCACAAACACCTCCCGCACTCCCTCCTGCAGCAATGCAGAGCACTCCAGGTACTTGACGGCGCCGATCTGCTTGGCCAGAGCGCCGCCCTGCTGGTGAGAGGTGGGCGCCAGGCCCTGCTCCTTCAGCTTCTTGACCGTCTCCGAATCCGTGCGCAGATCCCTCTTAGTGCCCACCAGCAGGATGGGAACGCTGGGGCAGTGGTGGGTCACCTCGGGGTGCCACTTGTGCCGCACGTTGGCGAAAGACGAGGGGCTGCCGATGGAGAAGCAGATGATGAAGACGTTGGTCTGCGGGTAGGAGAGCGTGCGCAGGCGGTCGTACTCCTCCTGCCCCGCCGTGTCCCACAGGTTGAGGCTGACCGTACGGCCGTCCACGCTCATCTGAGCACTGTAGTTGTCGAACACAGTGGGGATGTACTCCTCGGGAAAGGCGTTGGTGGTGTAGGAGATGAGAAGGCACGTCTTGCCCACCGCCCCGTCGCCCACCACCACACACTTAATAGTCTGCATTCTGCGTCCTCACGGCAGTGGCACCTGCGGCCAAGAGCAGGCTTTGAGACAGAGCACGAAACAGACTGATGCATTCTGTACTCTGCTTAAAGGGATAGTTCACCCAAAAATTATAATTAGCCCATGAATTACTCACCCTCAAGGCATCCTAGGCGTATATAACTTTCTTCTTTCAGACGAAGATTAAAAATTGTCCTGGCTATTCCAAGCTCTATCATAGCAGTCAGCGGGCGTTGGAGTGCATCAGTCCAAAAGAAGTGAAATAAAGCACATGCATCCATAATTAAGTCTCTCACACGGCTCCGGGGGGTGAACAAAGGCCTCCTGTAGCGAATCGATGCGTTTTTGTAAGAAAAATATCCATATTCAAAACGTAATAATCACTTTAATGTAGCTTGCGCCAACAGTTGTACACATAAGCAGCTCCGGGCGGATGACGTATGAGTTCAGTGTTGTGCATGCGCCGGTGAGTCTCGGGAAAACCAACGTTTGTTTACAGGAGCAAAGGAAGCAAAGTTTCTTTACTTTAGCAAAGGAAAACCAGTCTCCTCTTGGCTTACATCCAAATCCTCCGACATTCTTCTTTACAAATCCTCGTTTTATACTTCTAATTAGTGACCGTTGTTTTGTTTTGATCTCTCCGCTGCGTTTCCGCGTTCGTCACTTCTGAGCGGCGCATGCACAACGCCGACATCGATTCGCTACAGGAGGCCTTCATTCACCCCCTGGAGCCATGTGAGGCACTTTTTATTATGGATGCATGCGCTTAATTTAACTTCTTTTGGACTGATGCATGCAACACCCGCTGAGTGGCATTAAACAGCTTGGAAGATCAAAGACAATTTTTAATATAACTCTGATTGGATTCGTCTGAAAGAAGAAAGTCATATACACCTAGGATGACTTGAGGGTGAGTAATTTATAGGCTAACTTTCATTTTTGTGTGAACTAACCCTTTAAAAAGTGAAAAGCACCATTTCTACCAAAACAGTTATTATGACTATGATAAAAAAAAACTCGTTATTTGGTATCCGCACTGTGCTGTCATAAAAAAAGATATTATCCCGAGTGCCGTGTTGAAAATCCTCCACCTTATTTGGCGTTTCAGGTCAAAAATGTCCAGCCTTTTAAACTGCTTGAAATCTCTCATTATGCTGCATTATCGTGAAATATTGGGCTCTATATTTTTGTCAACACATTTTCTTTAAATTGGCACAGGTTTTGTAGTTATTTATTTTTGGACCTGTGCTAATTGAAAGAAAATGTGTTGACAAAAAGATTGAACCCAATATTTGGTAAATAATATTGCATAATGAGATATAAAGCAATTTTTTTGTAGGCTGGTCATTTTTGATTGGGAACACCACAAGTGTTATAAAGTGGGGGGAAAAATCCCAAAAGCATAAAATTATAAATAATGTTAGGAAGCTGTTACTACCTTATGTGAGCAAAGTCAGTATGTGTTAGTCTAATGTGATAACATTAACTAGCATTTTTTTTTTTTAAACATTTAATAAAAGAAAAGAAAATCCTCTCTGGGTCAAAATGACCAGAAAACAACATGAGGGTTCAGCAAAGTAACACAAATGTTCTGAAAGCTTTTTCAATATCACACATTAATTTCTTACAAACAATAAACGGAGTAAGTATGGTATTTCCTGCCAGAAACATGGTGATTAAGTTCTAACTTTAGATGTATTTGTGCTTTATTATGAAGAATTAATAAAAGTAAAGGGTTTACACCAAGGAAATCAAATTGATCTTGCGTCAATTTTTTTAAAGATTTGTAAAGTCTCTTCTGCTCATCAAGGCTGCATTTACTGGAGCAGAAATACAGAAAAAAACAGTAATATTGTGAAATATTATTGCAATTTAAAATAATGGTTTTCTATTTTAATATACTTTAAACTGTAATGTATTCCTGTGATGCACAAATGTATTTTCAGCATCATTACTCCAGTCTTCAGTGTCACGTGATCTTCAGAAATCATTCTGATATGATTTATTATCAGTGCTGGAAACTGTTGCGCTGCTTAATATTTAATTGTATTTCTTATGGAACCTGTGATACTTTTGTCCAGGATTCTTTGATGTATAAAATAAATACAGTGCTTATTTAAAATAGAAATCTTTAAATTGCAAGAAAGTCGAAATTCTGTTTACAACTCTACCAGAAGAATCAACTGAAGTTAAGAATTGTAGGCATACTAGTATCATAAAATTAAATGTTCAAAAATTATAAACAATTATTTTAAAATGACAACTGTATTATTACAAAAGTCATATATTTTTGAGTTATGAATTATTATATTGCATGCAAATATGTCGTTTATATTTAAAATATTAATTTAAAACCTCAAGGAGTACTTAAAGCAAATATTTTGCTGACAAAAAGGGTTAATTTAACCTGTGCTTCTCTCCGACGCCAACTGATTACAGAGAGCAAATCATTTAGATCATAACCCACACAGTTACATTAGCAAGAAGCAGAAGAAATGCAGTTATGATCCTGGAGATCCTCCGACACGGAGACACTCAAAACAGAGTTCACCTGGAAAACACACATATGAGTTCAAACACAATTTTAATACAACTATTTGAAAATCTGGAATCTGATCTAAATATTGAGAAAATCATCTTTAAAGTTGTCCAAATGCAGCAATGCATATTACTAATCAAATTAAGTTTTGATATATTTACGGTAGGAAATTTACTAAATATCTTCATGGAACATGATCTTTCCTTAATATCCTAATGATTTTTGGCATAAAAGAAAAATCATACAATGTATTGTTGGCTATTGCTACAAATATACCCCAGCGACTTAAGATTGCTTTTGTGCTCCAGGCTCACATGTTTTACTAAACTTTATCGCTATTAAATGTCTTTATTATTAATACTACTACCACCACTATTATATTATACAACTGCAATGCTCATCCCAAACCGTCCTTCGGATGAGACGTTAAACAAGGTCCTGACTCTCTGTTAGGGGTGTTGAAATTAACCCATGCATCGTGATGCGAATGATTCTGCATCGATGCAGTGATAGCCCATAATCCATTAAAGCCTACTGAGGTCGTTCGCATACGCACTTGTCATGAGAGTATTAAAAAAAAAAATGCACCCACTATTTTTAAATCCGAGATCAGGGAACATTTGGGAAAAACCAAGCTTGACAGTGATTTTTGTCATAAAAGAAAAATAAATAATTTTGACCCATACTATGTATTGTTGGCTATTGCTACAAATATACCCCAGCGACTTAAGACTGCTTTTGTGCTCCAGGGTCATATTCGCAGACATGAATCGAGACACTACCTTCCGTCTCCGGTCCTCCTCTGCGTACTTCTCAGCGTTCTTGATCATGTTTTCAATGTCATCTTTGCTGAGTCCACCAGACGACTGGATGACAACTGAACGAAACATGCATAAAATATGAGATGAATGTTTTTTTCATAAAGACAACTTAAACGCAACATTTTTGGGACTGTAAAAGTGGACATTGCATACTAGAGAGGAGTCGAGCTGAATGTGAGATTGCAGTGGACATGTTTGAAAATCTTTCAAAGATGTTGTAATTTGCAGTCATATTGCATTACTGCAGTCACTACACAACAGTGGCCTAAAGCAATGACTAAACCATCTTTTCTTGGAGAACTAGTTCACATTACCCCTCATAACACAGGTCAAAGTCATTTCTGAAGTTATATTTTAGTGAAAGATTAAAAAAATTTTTTTTTAAAAATAAATAAAAGTGTGGAGTTCCTTTGGGAACAACATGCATCATTGATTTTGACTGATTTTTGTCTCACTCTGCTGTTCTCGGCCGGTGCCCTTGTCTTTAGCGGAGACGTGCACGATCCCGTTAGCGTCGATATCAAAGGTGACTTCAATCTGAGGAACACCACGAGGAGCCGGAGGCATGCCGACCTGTTCAGCACATAAACACAACATCTGAGCCATGACCGGATATGAAAAAACACGTTTATAGTCTTCTCTAGCATGCTTCCTAATCTAGATGTCTAATAAACTTAGCACTGCGTATTATGAGTGTTGCTGGATCTTTGTGCCTCTTCTGTAAGTCTGGATAAAAACATCTGCTAAATGCATACATGTAAAGGTGCATGTGAATGTTTTGTACCAGGGTGAACTGTCCCAGAGTCTTGTTGTCTGCAGCCATCTCTCGCTCTCCCTGACAAACCTTGATCTCTACTTGAGTCTGTCCATCAGCAGCGGTGGAGAAAACCTGAGAAGCACATCAACCAAAGTTCATATCCGTCCATATGGACACATTAGAGCAGAGCAACACCGCTTCGAAAAAATGACAAAAAATGTTTACCAACATGTGACCCTGGAGCAAAAAACCAGTCATAAGTGTCAATTTTTTAAAATTGCATCATCTGATGCAATTGTCTTTATGCAACATCTGAAAGCTGAATAAATAAGCTTTCCATTGATGTATGGTTTGTTAGGATAGGACAATATTTGACTGAGACACAACTATTTGAAAATCTGGAATCTGAGGATGCAAAAAAAAATCTAAATATTGAGAAAATCATCTTTAAAGTTGTCCAAATGAAGTTCTTAGCAATGCATATTACTAATCAAAAATTAAGTTTTGATATATTTAAAGTAGGAAATTTACTAAATATCTTCATGGAATATTATCTTTAATATCCTAATGATTTTTGGCATAAAAGAAAAATTGACCCATACAATGTATTGTTGGCTATTGCTACAAATATACCCCAGCGACTTAAGACTGCTTTTGTGCTCCAGGCTCACATATCTTATATTGGGTCATTGATATGTACCAATATTGTTATTTTAAACAGCATTTTTTTACCTACATAGGTTTATTAAAGTGATATCACCTAAAATTAAATCACTTAGGCTACTATGTTCAAAGAATGCGTTTCAAATATGAAACAGTTTTGTGCGTTTGATATGACATAAGGGTGTCTTTCAAAAAAGATTCATAAGAGAAGAGGCTGTTTTTCTGTTAATTAAATCTGTGTATAATCACATACTAACACTGATCCAATGCACATAAAGCACATCAATTATGGTCGACAGAAGCTCACAGGTGCCTGCTTAGTGCAGAGGAACCAATAAGGTTTGTTTTCATGTACCAAACAACTTCAGTCAATCTGCTGACCATATGTGAAGAGATCCATTTGTGTGTGCTGATCAACACTTATATGTGAATAAAGCCACATATTAAATCTGTTCATCATATAAAATGATCATGTCGCTACAGAAGATTTGATTTAAACCGCTTGATTCATATGAATCATGTTTACGATGTCTTTATTAACTTTCTGAAGCATCAAAGTTGGGGTGAAACAGACAGAAGTCTCTCAGGGTTTCAAAGAAGGTGTGAACTAACCCTTAAAAAATAAAGATAAACTGTTGATTCAGAGCTCGAAGATGACAGTGATACTGAAAGCCATGTCTGATAGTGAAGCTAAATTCAGCCACGATGCAAGGAGGAAGACAAGGTTTGAGCACGAAGTGCTTCAGAAGCTTACCTGGCTCTTCTTGGTGGGGATGGTTGTGTTTCTGTTGATGAGTTTGGTGAAGACTCCTCCCAGAGTCTCGATGCCGAGAGACAGAGGAGTGACATCCAGCAGCAGCACGTCGGTCACGTCTCCGGCCAGAACGCCTCCCTGGATGGCCGCGCCGATGGCCACGGCTTCATCTGGGTTCACAGACTTACTGGGAGCACGACCGAACAGATCCTGGACCGTCTGCTGGACCTGAGGACGCACACGTGCAGGAATCAAGACGCTTCAGGACAGTAGACGGATCGGGCCTCTGCCGTGTCCTCACGAAAGTTAATCATTTGCACGTGTTTTTAAAGCTTTGTCAATTTAAAAGCATGAAAAGCACACAAAGCGCGAGAGACAAGAGAACTCCATTCAGCACTCGCGTTCTTCTTGCACTATAACGGACAAACACACCTTGCCAATTTGAACATTAAAGCGATTTTAACGCATTCAAGCACAAGATGATGTGAATAACTTAGTCACTCAGTGTGTTCTGTGTGCACAGCGCAAGCCCCGTATGGAGTGACAGACAAATACATACAATATATTAGACCCATAAATTGTGTTTAAAGTGACCGCGCCTAATTTATCAGCTGCTGTTGGTGTCCTTATAAAGCAATAAGCCGTGGTTTACAGTGAATTTATAACAGCTAAGGGGCGAAGCGGAGTGCCTAAAACCCCCTTAGCTGTTATAAATTCACTGAAAACCACGGCTTCACGGGGTTTATTGCTTTTATAAAACGGTTATTCCATATGCGTAGTAAGGTTTTACAAAATAAAACCGCAAATAGTGTAATATTAATAAAAACAGTATTCTTCCACCAAACAATGTAGTTCCTCAGAAACGGTTGTGGTTGTAACAAAGTGGTTGCAGAGCAACATACAAACGTAAGCAAAGGAGTATGTTACATTGTAGAGTAATTTACAACAGCTTCGAACATGGCTCAGCCAATCAGAATCAAGCACTGGAACTCTCCGTTTTATAATTGTTAACAATGAGCTTAATGCTTAATATACATTTAATTTATACAGTGAAGAATATGCAATGTTATTTTACATTTAAGTTTTCAACTTCTGTACTTCTAAAAATCTCAAGCATCTTTAATTTGTATCATCGTTGCGTTTATTTGTGCGGTTGCTTGTAATTTGTTCATTTGTTCTTATTTACTGACTGTTCATGTCTTTAATAAGGTTTGAACTTTATATTTGTCAGGCTAGCATTTCTTGCTGTGGTACTGAAATTGGAATGGAGAATTGTAAATATAAGCTTATTTATTAGAATAAAAGACACCATGGGTCAAAAACAATGATAACATTTTTTGTGGCATGGCCAGTGAAAATATTGACAAGGCAAGTAAAAAATTGAACCACTGGCCCGACTGGACCAGTAGAAAAAAAAAATCCTTAGAGAGTCTTTCGGTTACCTTCGGCATGCGGCTCATTCCTCCCACCAGCAGTACTTCTCCAATGTCACTCTTGGAGACCTCTGCGTCCTGCATGGCCTTCTGACAGGGTGCCACGGTCCTGCGGATCAGATCCGCCACGATGCTCTCGAACTGAGCGCGGGTCAGCTTCATGTTCAGGTGTTTGGGGCCAGAGGCGTCCATCGTCAGGTACGGCAGGTTGATGTCCGTCTGTGTGCAGAGATATTACGATTCGGTTTCTTAAACTCACCAACATCCACACTCTAAACCAGCAATAACCACTGCATCCTGAAATCTCAAAAACCTGACAAACATACTCATCATAACATGCTGGTATTATATACACATCTCGATATTTTATGGGATTTTATCGATAACGATAATTAGACGATATTTTGCTGAGTGTGTTATTGTGCTGGTACCTTAAGGACTGCTGAAGACAGCTGACTCCTAAAGTTTTTAATATTCTTCATATTCTGTGTGGTGGGCAGTTCACACTGAGAGAAATGTATCTTTTCCAATAAGTTTAAACTTATTTTAAAATGTTATGGGCATTTTTAGCTTTATAAAGCCATTTTTGTCTAAGAGTGTCCCATAATCTTTTGAGTGAAATTCTTACATTTCATCAGGGAATTAGAATAATAAGACATTGGGGCTGTTACCGAGCAAATTAAAATCAACACAGAAGTTGCATCTGAAGTGGCATTTAGATGCATTTACAC